CACACTGCAGGGCCAGGGGGTGCAGTGATGCTGAGCTGAGGTGCCCCGTCTGGGTACCAACCTGGCAGGATGTGGCCCACCAGGGAAATACACCCTTTAGTTCCCTCCCAGTCCTCCCCAAAGCAGGGATGTTGCCGAGACGAGCTGAGATGGCAGGTCGGAACCTGTGGTGGCAGTAGGGGGGCTGACACAGCCTGGCCCAGCTCTTATGGCAGAGCCCTTGGTCAGCCCTGGACCACTGATGGGGCTAAGCCAAACCCACAGCTCCAAGACCATCCCCTCTCTGCTGGGCATGAGAAATCCTGTGAGGCTCTGGGTTATGCCCTGGAGGAGTGCAGAGCTTGAGAAATTAGGATGACACAACAAACTGCTGCTTTCCCCTCTGTTTTTAGCAACGTTGAAAGAGTCCCTGAGTTCTGTTGAAACGTGGGAGCCTCAAAGCCATGGGGCTCTGTCCCCAGAGCACAGCTGGGGAGAAGGGACACCAGGCCCTTGTCCACCTGTGCCATCCCACCTGATGGTGCATGGCTGCTGTGGGAGGAGTGGAGGGAGCCCTGGGATATCCACAGGACTCAGCAAGTGTCTTTCCAGGATTTACCAACCCAAGGGCTGGATCAGGCCAAGCTGGGAAAGTCCTCCAGCAGCCAAGGGTCCTGCTGCTGAGCCTGGCAGAGTAGCCCAGAGTGCCACAGCCTCTTGGCGTGGGAAGCAAGGGCTGCTGCACCCCAGGAGCTGTTTGCCTGCAGGGCCCGTGCTGCAGGGTAGGTTCTGGAGGTCATCTGGCTCTTTGTGCACAACAAAGCCATGGACTGCTCCTTGATCTTGTTCTCCCTCCCCTATTATCAATAGTTTTTCTGGTCCGACTGGATTTCTACATCCCCAACAAAAGGAGAATGTCCACACACTGGAGGTGAGGAGGGTGAACGCCCCACAGCCTGTCCCAAACCAGCCTGCAACTGGTGAAGATAAATAACATCTGGTAAGTCTCCAGCACAGGTTGTTTTTTTCAGCTCACCTGGAACAGGCACATGCAGCCCCCTGTGGCCCCAGCACCAGCCAGCCAGGCTGCTCAGGAGTGACACATCCAGAGGGAGCACCCGCCCCGTGCTGGGAAGCTGGACACTGCTGTCCCAGCTCTGGCTGCTCTGGACCTCAGTTTCTTGCCTGGGAAGAGACAGAAGTGACAATCTGCATGTGCCTTGGAGCCATCTGTGGGTTTGGTCTTGGCTGCCAGCACTAGCACACCACCCCAAGCCCTAGGACATGGTGCAAAACCCATCTTGTCTCCCTCCCTGGTCAGCCCAACCCTGGGCTCCAGAGAGCAGGAAGGGGGACAAGATGGGCTCTTCACCACCCATTTGTCTCTGAGGTGCATCCCTGTCCCCAGCCCAGCAAGTCTCCATCTGCTTCCTCCTGCTTTGGCCCAGTCAAGGAGCTACGTGCCTGCAAACATGCAGCAGGACACGGTCCCTGCTTCTGCTTGACCTGAGCAGTCACCACAAAAGGGAAAGA